CCATTTTTGAAAAAATTGAATGAAAAAAAATTGTTTTTTCAAGCTAGAGTTTGGTGTTGGCATGCGAATTGGTATTGGTAATTACCACATTTTCTGTATGGGGGCATTTTTGAAAACGTCGTGTAAGACGGGATTTTGTGAGATTCATGGGTGGAACTATGATTATGCTTCGCAGTGTATATAGGAGAGACAGGAAGACCGCTAGGTATACGAAAACGAGCATCTAGTTGGTGTGGGGCGCGATCGGCTCATGACAGCGCTGGAGACGTAAATCTGAGTAGCATAAGGCAACAGCTGTTATCTTTATCTTCAGTTTTAGACGTAAATGGAGACGCTACACTAAGTCTCATTTTCTACAGACTACTATCCGCATATATCTACGGGTTCACGGTAGAACCCTGCACTTTTCGCGTTGTGCAGGACTTTCTCCTAGAGTCCGAGCACGTCATCGAAAGTGCTAGAGTGACTGGGTGTTTAGTGAGGTAGTGCTCATCCCATAACCTCGAAACACGTTTAGGCCTCCGACAAAGAAGACCACGTCGAAACGTTAGGCGGTTAAATAGAGTTCTCCATCTAGAAACCTTGAGAGAAGGCAGTGTAAACAAAGGTACGGCCACTGTTCCCCGACTACTCCCCAAGATTTCTTTCATTGATGAACAAACGAGTGATGGTGACTACCCCGCAAGATTCCCTTCACCGATGAACAAAGGAAGGGTGAAATTATAAAGAGACATTGATAGAAGCATCGGTTAATGGACTTGGCATCTGCATAGCGTCCTTTCTTGGTTGGAATTTGTGGCCCTTAATAGAATAAGGAGGATGATTAATGTTGGCCGACTTTTGAACGATTACCAACTAGCTGATATTTTAGCTAAGCCTCAATATTGGGCTAACTGCTTGGGACACCACTGTAGCTTGCGTAATCTGACATTATGATGGAATACTTATCGCGAACAAAAGTTGAAAACTTTTAGCTGAACGGAAATCTGAGCGTTCAGCCATTACTGACGTCGGTGATGAGCAAAAAAGACTGAGAGCAGACGCTTTCAAAACAAATTCGATACCATTGCAGTTCATAGTTCGCACACACTATGAGTGCTGCCTAAAAATAACTGCGTTCAGGCTTCGCGATCGCGCGATTGGATCGCTCGATCGGATCGTGCAACCGGATTGCTCAACCGGATCGCGCGATTGGATTGTGCGATAGCGAAGTCTGAATGCGGGCTCATGACTAAAATCAGAACCGGGGTAGAATCGAAGGGTTTTTGCTATGAGAACCGGGGCAGGATCGAAGGGTTTTAGTGATGCATCCTTGCGTCCGTCACGAAAATTTAGCCACCGACATACTAGAAAGACCAGGGCGTGGCCATCATTTGCGACCTCAGCGATGAAGGAACCACTTCTCACTGTGCTATCATCGGTTGGAAAACAGTAAATGTAAAAAGAGGAACTTTCTGAGTAAGAAAACTGAGACAGTTTTAGAAAACCGGATAGTTGTCGCTGCCACAGAAAGTAACGGAGAAAGTGCAAGGCTTTAGGCAGTTGGTACTCCAAAACAAAAAAGAGAATGGGCAAATCTTCCCTTTTTTCAGTGCTCAGCACACTTGAGTACTGACGAACAATAGCATGAGGAAAAACGAACCTGCACCCATTCCATAAATGAGTCCATGTTTCTTTTGACCACTGAGATCAGAACATAATACTTCAATGTGCTCGTTTTGATCGAAAACCTAACAAAAAAGGTAAACGGAACAATAACTGAGGGCGACAAAGTGCTCCAATAAAAATCTTAAGAATGAATCAAAACGACTCTGAGACCATCGGCATACCCTAAGATATTGCTTCTTATCCTTTCCATCAGGTATAGTGATGAGCTGCGCTACCAGGGAACTGCTTGGTGAATATGCAAACGACTGCGACCTTAAAAACTTCTAGTTGAACTATTCATTTGTTGAAATGGAAAAATCTAGCAGGAACACTCACTCGAAGCTGGT